AATTCAAGGACTTTTCAAGGATTTCAAGGCTAGTTTTCTACTGATGTTTGACTGTGTTTGAAACTTTATACGTACAGTATGTGTATATTTTAGTACTTAGAGACCTGAACTGGACCTACAAACACCTATCCAGTGTGAAAATGCTGAGAGAATACCACACACACAATGCACTATAGTCAATCAAAACCCCAAACCCAGGGAATTGAAAAGGTGGATGATCAACATGGCAAAACCAGGATTTAGCATTTAATTCATAATTTAATGATAGAGCGTTTTCAAGTGATGTCACAGCGGTCATGTTTGCGTATCAAAACAATCATTTTCTATCCTCGGGGGAATTAAACTTCATTTTCATACAAAAACTGTGCAGAGCRTTTCTATGGTTTGGTGCACCAGTATGGGTGCCCTGTCACATGAGTAAAAATGCTCTATAAATTTTGTATGTACCATCATCACTCTCTGTTTCACAGTTATACTCTCCTGAATCACCCACTTCTTGGATGCTCCATTTAGATCCCTGCTGCTCATCATCTAGTTCATGGTTATTATTCATATCTAAACAAAAGAAATTAATGAGACATCATTTTACTACTTAAACTCTCATAGTCTGAGTATCAGACCTTCGAGGGGCATGGGGAAGGGGAGAAAGAAGGCTTTCTCCTTTCTCTTTTCCCCTCCCCCTCCCTTCCTAGYTTGAGACTGTTACTCTGAGGCTAAGGGCTGGTCTTATAGCTACAATCTTGAACAAAATTGTTGTTACATTGTGCTTTTCATGACAGACTGCCCTTGGCACATTTCAGCCATTTCCTTCCCCCCCCCCCCCTCCCCTCCTGAACAATTTCATCTTTGGTGGCTGATTGGTCTTGCAGACCTTTAAAATACTTTGGATAGGGGAAGGGGATCTCTCTTGAAATTGCGGTTTTGTAACAACTAATTTTGTTCAAAATTGTAGCTTGGTTTTCAAATGACATCATAGCTGCCATCTTGGTTGAATTTAAACCAAAACTTGTCAATTATTTCTTGGGAATGATTGAAAACCAGCAATATTATTGTCCTACTGATAATAAAAGTATCATGGTTCYCTACTAATATTAAGAACAAAACTGTGTTACAACAGTTGACTTTGCCTTTATACCAGTATGCTGTAAAATATACTCTACAAACTGTCGATTTTTTAAATTTTAAATGGCTCCCATTTTTTGTAACATTCATCCTTGCAGTCACAACGATTCTAACTGGAAATATCTTACAGGAAAATAAGGTTATGTTGGGGGTACTCCTTGGAAATCCGCATAAGAAATACGGGGGGAAATCTTATGTGTATTAGATCAAATAGATTCATTATTTACTACCCTTTTTGGCCAAATACAAAAACATGGCGGCTTTTACTACTTACCTATGGAAATATTAATCTTGCAGAGGAAGAATCAATACGAACCAGCGTACGAATATATTAAAAACTAGACATTAGCCTGGTGAGAACAAAAGATATGATGAATTTTCATTTCAACGTTGTTCTTTATAGACTTACAAAATGAAAGTGAAAATTTAAAAACTTGCACACATAAGCATATTCTTTTAGGACAGCACCAGTAGGCTTACCTAAAGATTGGTTGGCGTTAGGAATGCTTTAAAAAATTCACTTCAAAGGCGTCTATCATTGCAAATCTTACGAATGGACGGTAAACAAAGTATAAAAATCTTGGAGAATTTAAATCAAAAATGGATTCAAGTTAAAAAGAATGGAGAAAGGACAACCCAAGACGGGACCAAGAACAGAAATCAATCAGTGCGCATGTACTAAGTAGTGCATGTTGGGAAGGGGGAATCCCCTCATGTTGGCCATGTTGTGTTTTTGATCTTTGGGAAAAACCCCCTTCCGATAATACACTTCAACGACCAAGCCATTTTTCATTGTGCGTTTTTAACCACAGGTAGCCCAAGCTGGCTATTAGTTTCATAGTCGATTGTTATTCTTCGGTGAAACAATAGCGGTGGCGTGTGTTGACCTGAGGGGGAGGGTACGGGGAGGCGTTTCCGTTGCAGGGCTGCTGGTCGCGAGAACGGGGAATTGAAGATAGCCTTGGTAAAAAGTTGCTTTAAAAATGGATAGCGTTGAATAGCTGAACGGAGGTCAATGGTGTGGATGTGTTAGGTATCGGACTAAGGTTCTGTGAACGAATTTCGTCGTGATGTGTAATTTTGACTGAACTAGAAGCAAATTAGTGCACATTTTCAGGGTTCAAGAGAGCTTGAGTATGCCACTACAAAACTCGCTCAATATTGAAGCAAATGGTTTGAAATTTCACAGAGACCCAAAAGAAAACCTAAGCAAGATAATGCCTTTATGAATTTATTTTATCTTATTATTATTATTATCATTATTATTATTATTATTTTACTGTATTTTGACGATAAATCAACACTATTAAATAGCCAGCTCATGGGCTACCTGTGAGTAGATATCGTAATCCTTTAAAAATGTGTTTGCTGGCAATTTTTGAACAAGCTGGAAATGCCATATCAGCAATATTCCAAGAAACAATCGCATATTTATATTCGCTGATCCTTTATTGGGATTCGCTAGAATTTCAGCCAATCATATAATATCAAGATAATAAGACGCTTTCGAACCGAAAATAAAAAAGCCCTTACTTTGCTTATTCCCCCGTCACTTTCTAGATCTGTGGCAGCCTTAGCACGGAGGACGTACTTCGGTGAGTTTTTAATTTTATTTTACAATACTTGGCATTAAAGACATCATGTTTTAGCCGAAAAGTAAACCAATCAAACCGCCCTTTGGCGAACTCGTGGATACTAGTTGCTATGTCCTTATGCTTGTTGACATTCGAAGGTTTCAAAGTATTTCGCTCGATTTCATATTTTAAATACGCAATTTAGCTGGTAAGATGATTAGTCGTCCTTTTATTTTCCTYTTAAGGTGGCTGGACCCCCTCACGCTTGACCGCTACCTTCCACTTTTGGAACGCTGGCGCATAAACGTGTTTTATCCGATTGCAAATCTTTTTTGCACATAGGTCACAGGGAGCCCGGCTTTAGAATTTGTACATGAATAAAAAAAATCAATAAGTGCTTTATTGGGTTTCCTGTGTTGAGATTTGAAACAAGGCGCTGATACGTTGAGTTTCCGGTAATCGTACTAACCAGTAACTTGATAGCAGATTAATGTAACGTATCAGTGTAACGCACGCCCTAGTAAATGATAAGAAAGAGAGAAGGGCTGAAACTAATTTGAGTACCTATTTTGAAACCGCCGTTAAAATAATTCGCCAGGGTTAATTACCAGCAAATACAGCACCAAATGATCACATGACAAATAAACTTAACGACAGCATGTCTTATTTATAGGGAATATTAATCTGTGACACACAAAAGAATGATATTTGTAAGCCATACTTTAAATGTATGTGGACCAGTGGTTGATGGGACCAGTTAGCTCTACAACCGTGACCTCTCTGGTAAATATCCGCTTTCAAACAATAGACTTTGACAGATTCATGACAGTTTCATTGAAATGCAGCATTCGATTTTTATTGTCCTTTATATTATACAAAGGTTCGTTTTTCGCCTCGCTCTAAACGAACTTTCTGGCGTACCATAGAGGGGAAATGTCCTATTCGTCCTTTTTCTTTATCRGGAACTCCATTTTCTTTCCCCAGAACTTTGCAGAACATTTCATTTAACCTTGATAGTGGAGCCTGGGATTCCGCTCCAGATACAGAAAAGTTTTTCAAAAGCCTGAAGAAAAAAACATGAGATTTTAGATCCTGACGACGAAATTAACGGTCAAATATTTTGAAAAATATACCTTACTCACCATAACATAAAGTATTGTGCTCCTTGAATATTTGATTTGTTTTCCTTTGATTCCAGATTCTGATTGCCAGCACTCGTCATGTTGACATTCAGACTGCGTTCCTCTAAAGCCTATTAGCACTGGTCCCATCAACCGCTGGTGTACATGTAACGATAAACTTGCCTTGTTTCAGCCCTTCTCTCTTTCTTACCATTTACTAGGGCGTGCGTTACACTAATACGTTAAATTTGAATTATAAGCTGCTCTCGAATTACTTACATTAATCTGCTATCAAGCTACCAAAATCTCAATACAGGAAACCCAAAGTACTTTATTGACTTATTTATCATTGGCGTCTTGTTTCAAATCTCAACACAGGAAACCCAATAAAGCACTTATAGATTTTTTTTATTCATGTACAAATTCTAAAGCCGGGCTCCCTGTGCATAGGTCACATAAAGATTGAATTAATGTTTGATGTAATTTTTAGTTAGATCGGACGTCATAACACGTGATTATGATGAAATATTTGTTTTCGTTTAGAAAATAATTTTAGCCTTGCAGAGCGTTCAACACTAAAATGCTTCGTACCACATAATTATATACTAAATGCCTCCATTTGTAGGGATTTTTGAAAAAATCTATCTAGCTAATTATGAGACATTTGAGATTAATAATAATAATAATAATAAATTTATCCAGGAGACCTACTCGCAAAAGCGATTTTCAGTAGGGTCCTGCAAAGATTATTTAAATATAGTGCGTAATCTACTTCAAACTAAACAATGGATTTGATACGGCCGAAATTAAGAGCGGCTGTCCGTAAAAACCAGACCAATTCGAAATTTCGTGGCAACAGTCAAAAAATCGATTTGGTTCATACTTTGAAGTTAGATACCCTATCATATAACATTAACCCCTGTGCACTTAGTTTTGAAAAATTCTTTTTTGTTCGGGAGAAATTTGAATTTTTATGCAGATAGGCAAATATACTAATTTGACGACTCTGAAATTGAGATAAATCACCGATCTCGTGTACGAAATACAATAGAGATTTCCGATTTAGCGGATTAGCGACAGTATATTCCACGCTCATTAATCCACCCGGAATATAGCCTGAGTATCAGGTCTTCCGAGGGGGAGTGGGAGAGAAGGGAAGGAAGCCGGCTCTCTCTTTCCCCTCTCCCGGAGAGCCTGATACTCATGCTACCCAGAATATAGGTTAACTCAGTAAATGTTTTGTTTTCTATTGCTTAACGAGCACTATTTTTTT